CTCATCTGAAGGATGGCTTCCCAGTTACTCCAAGACATGCTGCCATCAGTTGCAACGACATTTGCTATGTCAGCTTCACTGAGGTCTCCCACAGGAAGAGTTGAGCTATATTTCTTTGATCTCTTCCTATCCTAGGAAATTGCTTCATACAGGAACCATTTTACAGGATACCCTGAAGAAGTCCCATGAATTTAATACAAAGTACCAGCCTGTGTTCAAAGCTGCATAATGTGTCATAACCTCTGCTTCACCCAGCTAATGGACCTGCAGGCACAGCTTTATGCTTTGAATCACTGCACTCCTCCAGTCCACCACGGTCACTTCAGATCTCTTCTCCCTCTTGGCTACTCCCTTCCCAATGCTGAAGCTGGTGTTCTGCACCTTTTCTTACATGGGCTGCTGTCTAGTGGCACTGTACCTGGGCAAGAGCTCCTTGGGAACTTTCTCTAGCTGATGCTTGATACCTGGGCATCTTTTCCTATTCCTCATCTGTGCAGAGCATTTTCCAGCCTGGCAGAAGTTGTGCAGTCCCCTGCTGCATCCCTGATGTCTCTGTTTCCCACAGGTCCAGAGGAAAACACTGAAGCAGTCCTCTGAAGCAGCTTGGATATGCTTCTTTGCACCAAGAGAAAAAAATGCAGAGAGAAGAGAGAAAAAATAACTCGAGGAGAGACAGTACAAGCTCTGCACAAATAGCTTCTCCTGGATTCCTGTGCTGAGCATGTGTACCGCCTGATGGGTTGAGCATTCATTGCACCTACTTTTGTTTTAAAGCAGAAAGAGAACAAGGCAGATGTAACTGGTTATTTATCATACAAAGAGAAATTGCAGGATGATCTATGCTCTCCTAATAGAAGTAGCTTGTGAGTTTTGGCCCTTTGCTGCTGATCCTGGAAGACCCTACTCCACGTGTGGGAGTTGCTTCTCTTGTGCCGTGTTTCTCCATGATGCAGGAGCAGCACAGCGGTGCAGGCTGGCCCCAGCTCCTGTACCTGTAGCCCGCTGGCCCAGCTCTACCTCCCCTGGGCCTGGTGACACGCGGGGCTTTGACAAGGGACTTGGCGCCCCATGAGGACTGAATCCTTGTGTTTGCAGGCTACGGGCATTAGTACAAAGGTGCAGGGGAGCGCTCCAATTCGGGCAGCCCTGGCATAGGTGCAGTATAAGCTGTCCCAGCTGTCGGTGAGACCAGAGGGATAAACTCTGGTATTTGAGCGTCTTACATGTGTCTTTGCAGTCATGGATCAGTGCTGGCATCCCTTGCTCAGGCAGATGCTTTGCAAACACCTAAGGGCACTAATGTTATACATGGACTTTCTGTGAATTAGCTCTTATGTAGGTAATTGGAGGTGAACTGATCATTTATTTTTCCCTGCTGCTATTAAGGATGCACTCCATATCTGACAGAAAATTGTGTATATGCTTCCTCAAGCCATGGTCACTGAGGCAGACTGGGACTGTTTCATGGCAGCTCTGGAAAATAAGCTTTTATTCTTTCCAAACTACTTCATAAGGAGAGGCATCAGGTTTCTTGTGGCCCTGTAATCATGTCAGGGCTGAGGCAGAAAGCAGAAGTTATGTTTGTCTGATGCCCTTGCACCCAGAAAATATGTCCTTTTCCAGAGCATGCGGCTTCTTCATCACAAAGAGAAAGGGGTTCAGGGCAAGCTTTCTCCCTGGAAGCCAGGGCAGATCTTTGGCTGTTTATTATGGTGCTTCCTCCCTCCCAGCCAGTGCAGCCGCATTTAAATGCATTGCCTAGCACTGTAAATCCCACCCAGGAACTGCTCTTGAGCATGGCCCTGCAGTTTTCTTCAGTCAAAACATGTTTACATGCTAATTTACTGAGATCGCAGTAACCGCACCACCCCATCTGCACCCTGCCTAGCCAAATTATAACGCTGTGTTCTGGCGCGTTGAACATCTGACATGCTTTAAAATGAAGGGATGGCCAGCCAGTGGTGGTCAGTGCTGCAGGCTGCCTGGCAGAGGGGGTGTGTTTGCATGGCCAGTGCCTTGCCCGGTGTCCCAAGCTGGGGGATGCCAGACAGCCCCCCTCCCGGGGCAGTGAGCCACTTCTCTGATCACTGGCAGTTGGCTGTGCTGGAGGTGAATGGGGACACTTCTGAGGCTCCCCAGAAAGGTTTTTGACTGGTCTTCTGGGTGCTGCTCCCCTGCTGCACTACAGGCTGTCTAGATAATCCTGCAGCATGTCACTTCCTAGGCAGAAATCTGGAAGAGCCTTGCTCAGGTGGTTTTGGGGCAGAGAGCATCCGCAAATGTCTTGCACAGTCTCACCTGCCAGAAACATCCATCTTTCTTTCTCCTGCATCCCCACCAGAGTGTGGTCTTCCTTTCCTTCATCCCACATCCACTGTAGGGACCAGAAACCATTTCATACATTGCACAATACTGACCAAAAGACTCTCCCTCTTGCAACAGAGGCATCATGATATTTCTGCAGCATCAGAAATTATTCCAGCTTGCTTGAAATTTCAGGAGCTACAGGGTGAGGCTAAAGCCATTTTTCTTTTCAACATGATAGCCTCTACTGCCCAGGGGGTCCAAAACCCCAGGTGCACATTGAAAACATCACTCCATCCATTTCAGTGATGTTTCAGTAAGAAGTGTTTCATTCTTACCCTGGGCTGTGTCAAAATGATGGGCTGACCAAAATATTTGGCTGCAAATTGCTTAGCATTTGTAGTCTTCAGAGACACTCGGAGAAGGTTAACCCTCCTGCGAGGTTGTCCTTAAAAGAAAGTGATATATTGTGCTGTTAAAAGAAAGTTATCTGAGACATGGGATGAGACAACCTGTGTGGAAAGAGGGATAAGAAGAAGAGGCCACATGGTGTCTAAGTTAAGGTCCCTTGCTCTGTTCCAATGACTCCTCACACTTGGATGTGCCCTCTGTGTGACTATCCATGAGCAGAGCCAGTATTGTAGAGATGGGAGAGAGGATTTTTTAACCATGTGAAGGCTAATTTCCTGGACTAGGCAGTGGAAGCCTCTTTGTTCCATCTGTATCAGGCTGAAGACTGTGTTTAATCACACTTCATTACAAGCTGAAGCAAAGCAGCACCAAGGAGTTTGCAACCAGCTGGTCAGCAAAGAGGAGAGGCCATAGAGGGAGGAACTGTGTTTCATAAATGTGAGTAAGGAGTATATATTATGAGCGTGCTGGGAATAAAAACAAGCTTGTACCAGTGAATAGTGCGCCTCAAATTTCAGACCAGTTCCTGTGGGCCCACTTAAAGCTTATTCCAGTTTTTGAGAAGTCACTGGTTCCAGCAATATCCCCAATGTTTAGGAGCGAGGAATGTTGCCAGACCCTCTAGAGCCATGCCTCCAGAAATACGATGGAATTATTATTAAGTGCATTTAGTATTCCTGTTTATTGTTAGAGGCGTGATGTCTCAGCTTTTCTGTTGAGTTGCTTTTTTTCATGTAACACTCATAAATTCAAAAAGGGAGGAAAAATGGCCAGAGCTCTGCTTTTTATACTGGGCAGGGGTTGTTTGAGCCACTTGGTCTTGGTCACACCTGGCTGCTACGCTGTCCCTCACTGACATCTATGCAGAGGTCTTATTAGCATCATGCTGATGGATGGGCTCTCTGGGAAGGGAAGCGTGGTACAGCCTTCAGATACCCTCGTTAGAACAAAGCGGAAAACTTTTGACATTTTTTAATGTCTTTTTCTAATAAAATGAAAGTTTTTGACTTGGTTTTGAGCCAGAATGACAAAACAAAACAACTTTTTTATTTACATTTCACATTTCTGGGGGAGGGGAGCATTCAGCTGAAAACTGGTGTGTTTCAGCCATGGGGAAAATTGCCTTCCTACTGTCTCTCCTTTTTTTATTGGAACAAATAGACACATAGTAAAAATGTGAGCCAGCTTCTTTTTTTGTTAATACTATAAAATAGGGAGCAAAGCCGGCTTCCCCTCATTTTCCTCTACTTCTTTATTCTGTCCTCTCTTTGCCAATTGGAAACAGAACGCAGAGAGTTACTTTGTCTCTGGAAACAGCTCTTGCAGGGCTTAGCTGTGTTTTCAATGCTTTCCAAACAGAAGAGCTTTTTGGAACCTACATGGTCTTCCTGAAGTTTTAGGGGTGAGGGCTGAGAAAATCAATCTGTATTTTCTGCTGTCAAGCTTGTTTGGCGAGGGGAAGAATTGGGGAGAAATTTTCACAGGGGAAATTATATCGGCAATTTCCCTGCCGACTAATCAATATAAGGGACATTATACACAAATATGAATAAAAAAGCTAAGACTGCCTGCCCTTTTCCTATGTTTTCTTCTCCAACGCTACTGTCAGCCTTCCCCTCTCATGAACAACCGATCCTTCTGAAAGTGCTTTGTTGTCTGCATAGCGTAGGCAGCTAGGAGCAGAGGTGGTGGAAGGTATATGTCCTTCTCATGACTCTGTCCAACTCCAAAGTAAACACATTTTCTCAGTTCAGGAGAAGAGACCCTTCACTAGTGACACTGTAGATGCAGATACTGTTTCTCTAAATCAGTAGCAGAAAGACAAACAGAATTGAAAAGCAGCTCTGTAGCAAGACAGCAAGAGAATAGGCTTCACAAGTGCTTCAGCTGTGATGATAAAGATCCTTGCTCAACATCAGAAGTTTCTGATTCCATGCCATATGTTGCTCTCCTTCTTTTACAGAATAGAGTATTAAATGAGACATAGCAAGGAATCATTGATTAGAGTTGTTGCTCTGGAAAAGATTAGGAGAGCATTTTGTTTTCAGTTTGAAAATAAAATGAAAAAGTCACAAGTCTTGAAGGAACTTTCCAATGTGGTTTTCATCTGGCTTGGCAGGTTTCTCCTGGAGAACAGAAAGCTGAAAGCAGATAGGAATTAGGAAAACATGCTGTGACCTGGATAGAAATTCTTCAGCAAAAAGGGAAATGCAGAAGCAAAATGGTATGTAATGAAAGCCAAAAATCTTCTTTAACCATGTTTGTCTTTCTCGTTTCTTCTGCAGGGCCAAGTATTTCCAGGGGAAGAAGGTGAATGGAGAATTTGATATCCGAGTGGAACAGGTCAGTGACAACTAAATTGGGCTCTAAGAAATGTGTGTGGACAGGGATGAGGTCTTAATGACAGATAATCTGTGGATACTTCTTCTCTTGAAGAAAGGAACTAATGAGGAGTTTTAAGATGTCCACTTCATAGAATTGTGGAAGCTATAAATAAAAATATCTTATTGGGCCATTCCTTCATCCTCCCTACCTTTGCAGAATGAGTCGCTATTTCACCTTAAAATGAAATTTTCTGTTCTGATTATGGGATTATAATTTCTTCCGTTGGAAGACTACCTCACAGCTCCACATATATGCCTGAAAAGGTGCAAAGCCAGTATGCCACAGCACATGTTGGTGATGTCATGTTCCACGTGTGAGCTATACAAGTCTTCTGACTTACCCTGATTTAAGCCTAAAACCTTTGGTTTAAGTATGCAAAATAACTACATATGGCAACATCTTTTTATCTGTTGGAAGTCCATAGGAACAGTAAGGAGGTTCATGGCCTGTTTTCTGATGTGCTCTGCAGGGCATTGGACAAATTCTTTTTCTCTGTTAGCCTTGGCACCAGCCATTAACTTCAGTTGAAAACTCTTCATGTTGGGGTCTGTCCCTCCTCTCTGTGTTGGTGCAGTGTCTGTTAAAATGAAGTCTAAGTATTGACTGAGACTTTGGATGCTGTTGTCAAAGTAGAAATGATTATTAATAATCATCTGCAGGTGTCTAACTTGAAAGCAGGCATAAGAAGAGAGAGATGTAGAGATGAGCTGGTGATCCTGAAGGAATCATATGCTTGTTTCATACTCATTAGGGCTATAAAACTGCTTGGATGGATAAAGAAAGCTGGTGAATGTTATTTGAATGACATGATATTTTCTGTCTTTATAAAGCTGTTGATTCTGCATCATGTGTGTACGTGCAAGCATGTGTGTATGTGTATAGAATTATTAATGCAGTGGTTTTGAAGACTTTCTCAGGACACATTGCCCTTGATAAGGTGTTCCTTCTCTTTTCAAAGGGGTGCTGTCCAATTGCCCAGAACTATACATGAGCACGCATGTTCTGATTAAAGGCTGTGTCTGGGACAGAAAAGTTAGCAAGTCATTTTTTTGCAACTATGATACTACGAACACTTCATTTTCCTCTTTTTATTGGTATCACACTTGTCAGTACTGGGTGGTATTAGCAAGAACAATTCTCACTTGCACTTCCTTATCAAAGTCTTTATTTTGCTGGCTGCCTCAGTAAATGTCCTAAAAGAGAACAGGAAAAAAAAAATTAAAAATCACACTTCTCACATAGAAGCATGGAATCAAATAATAATTCAGATTTTCCCTTCAAACCTCTGATCCAATCCGCTCCACTGCTCAAAGCAGGGTCAGCTTCAAAGCTAGACCTGGTGCTCTTCAAACTGACCTGTTAATTCTTTCCTAAACCTCCAGCCTCTTGCCTTTCCCCTCATAGTCCTTCTCCTCAAATGTTATTGCACTGGAGGTCCTTATAAAGGAACTATCTTCAAATGGTTGGTGAGCAGAGAAGGGCAGAAGTGGACTCTTGATCCCTGATGGGTTAAACCCAGTAATGACCCTCGTCATCATCACTAGGTAGCTTACCACATTTCCCCAAGGACTCTTTCAGGGAGACTTTCCCAGTCTGTCTCTTGAAATCCTTCACGTAAGCTGAATGTCCATGTTTGAGATGAGGCAGCAAATTGCTCCAAGCAAAGACCATAAGGCTGGTGTGACTCTGCTGGTGAGGACCATTGCCAGGCCCCTTGCAGCCTTCTTTAAATACTCATCATAGTGACTGCAGCGTTGCCCAAGGGAATGAAGCGCGCAGTGGGTAGGAGAGTTGAGGAACAATGAACAAGGGCCCCAGCTGCTTCCCCTCGCTCCCTCCCTGCCCCTGAGATCAGGCAGCCGAGCTTCCACGTAGCGGGCAGGGAACTGCTCTTGAATCCCCCAGACCTCGAAAGCAGAAGGGATGATCACTTTCCCCAGCTGGATCACTGTCTGTCAAGGGAAACACAGAAGCTGCATTGTCATGGGCAGTCCTTGAATCTGACCTCAGGCCCCTCTGCATATCATTGAGGCCAAGAGAGGGGCACTTCTTTCTTCAAACTCTGGCTTTTTGTCCCCTTTGTTTTTTGCCCATCCATCCTTGCTCAGTATTTCTTGATATTTAATTTTCAGTTATTGCTCCTACCCTGATTATCTGGAGCCTTCCTCGCTTCTTCATTCTCTTCTTCAAGCACAATCCAGGAGCCTAAACTGTTGTGCAACAGGTCCCCTGAGGCTGAACGCAGACCCTCTTGACCTGAAAAATGAATGTTCTTCCATAGTCTCCTTACGGAAAAAAAAAAGCAGGGAATAACAGTGTTTACCAGCCTGGTTCACACCTTTCTCTTCGAGTTCCCAGCTCACCAGTCTTCACTACTATAACTGTTCCATGAACGGCTCACAGACTGTGCCATGGTGCACAAGCCATAACCTGGCTGTTGAATAAACTCTGCATCAGATTGAGGTTTGACTCTCGGACACTTCTTGAGCCACTTGGTCTGCTCAGTAAGTTCATCTAGTTTTTCAGTTTTTCCATTTGATTCTGCTTCAGATAACCACACATTATTGACTCAGCCAGAAATACAGTTTGCCTTAGGAATTTTTTTTATATTTTATAGGAAAAACCACTTTTGATCTGAAAAACTAAATAACAAAGAAGTTTGAATGGCAGAAAGCAGTGAAAGGAAATATCCAAATGTTAAATACTCTTGAAAAACCACATTGGGAAAAAGCAACTGCCCTATTTTTTCTGACCGTGCTAATTTTTTTTGCCATTCTTCCAGGATGCTTTGTAGTTGGTTTAAACTGAAGGAAGAGTTTGCCTTGTTGCTTTTTCTCTTCATCTTTCATCTCCAGCTCTATTACATCTTAATTCTTTATTAGCAAGCCATTTCAGCAATCTTTGGGGAAACCAGAGCAGGATAGTAGGTGATTTTTTTTTTTTAACGTCATGACATCACTTATTTGTAATGGAGCAGGAGTGCTGAAAGCAGCGCTGTCTCCCTCTCTCAGCAGCGGGAAGTCAGTTATCTAATCTGGTTATACACCCCTACCAGCTCTCTGAGCTGCCTCTCCCCCTTGGCTGTCATCCGAGGAATGCAAGACGTATGTGATCATGCTGTCTCTTTCCATCTATCCCCCACACCCAACACTGTGGAAGGCACTGGCTGATTTCAGCCAAATTGGAGAAACAGGCAGAAGTTTCAAGATACGAAGTTTCTACAAGAGGTGAATTCAGTTCGTATTAGATGCTGGATAATCCGCAGGGAAAAGACTGTTAAATGCCATCCTGCTGCTCAGGGAGCTGCTTCTGTAAGTCTCAGCCTCTATGAAAATAGGTTTTATGGACTCTCAAAGAAGGTTTTCTGGTTCTTTAGCACAGAAATTAATTGCATGACCTCAATACTGCTCCCAGGCCCTCGTCCTTCAGCTAGGTCCATTACCACTAGCAAAAGACCTGGTGCCAGTGAATAGGAGAGAGAGTTGTCAGGGACACTGCAGTGGGTATACCCTCTCCAGCCTTTGCTGTTACCTGTCATTCATCAAAATGAACATGAGGCCTGACTTTGTTTCCACCTTTGTTTCTTCTCTTCTAATCTTCAGCATAACATGCAAAACATATTTATTAATGTGCTTTAGAGGCAGCAGGATTTATTATTGCCCACCCTTGACTGAAACCCAGGCATGCAATGCCATTGCATTCTCCCTGCTGGCTGCAGGGGGAGAGGCGTGGGGCTGAGTGAGGGCTAGGGCAGTGGGAAGCAAGTGCAAGCGCTCTCCCAAATCAGGGCCGCTTTTTCTTTGGAGGCAGTTTGGATTACATTTTGATTATTTGGATATTTTTCCACTACAAGTCCTTCTGTAGCAATAAGAGTCATTCATAAGACTGAATGAAACACTGATCAAAAAGTGAAAATCTATTTGACCTATTCCCATTAAAACCCTGATGGTTTAAGTTTTATTCAGTGTAGCTAAACCCCTAAGCTTTAAAGAGCAGCTGAGTCTAAAAATACTATCACTATTTTATGTTAAAAATAAGGTTCTTAGATTTTGATCCATGTTGTTGCTTTTAGTTGCCTTGTGATTTCTAGCTTTGAGAACTGCAGTGAATACATCTCCAGTTCTTTTCTCTAGAAATACAAACGCTAGAGAAATTCTTTTAGAAATGAAAAGTATAAGTTTGATTAAATGGCTCTAAGGCTAAGTTGAGCTTAAAGAAGAATCTTAAAGTGCCACAGGAATTCACCACATTGCTTTTAGTGTCTCACAAAATTAATCTTGCTTTTATCTTCTCAGTCCTTCACTGGCCAGAGGACAGGAGGCATTAAGAAACACAATATATTCAGGAAGAGGAGGAATTTTACCATAGGCCTTATGCTCTGTCAAATGTTTTCCACCACTAGAGGCAACTGGTAGTAATTCAGCACCTCCTTCCCCACCCTCTCTGCCCTGTCCCAGAGAAAACTAAGCCTTGCATGCTCTAAGGATTTCATATGACTCTGGAGTTTCCCATATGGATCATAATATACCCCAGGTGGAGGTCTCCTTGGGCATTAGGCATGCCCCATGCACAAGGGGGATTCCGAATGGCCGTGCATCCCTAGCACACCCAGGTACAAGCAGAAGAGGGCAGGAGAGCCAGGGCTGAGACCCGGACAACCACAGACCCATCAGACAAACCGTGACACTGTGGGCAGTGGCCAGATGAGTGGGACGCTTGCCACCAGTCTGGGAGAGAGATGCCCACAAAGCAGGAGATGTGCAGAGCGGGGTGGGATGACCGTGGAGACCTGACTTATGAGAAGAGGCTGAAAGGGTTGAGTTTGTTTATCCTGCCAAAACAGAGGCTGAAGGAGATATGGCTGCTTTTAATAAATACACTGGTTTAAGAAAGGGTTTTGTGACGTGGTGCCTGCAGTAGCAAGGGCTTAGACCCTATAGCTCCGGTGAGCTTTTCCA